TAGAAATTTGGCCCAATGCAGTTCTTTGTTTTGTGCTAAGAAATTAAAACAGAAGTTAATATAAATCTTACATCAGCTTCTTTTCACATGTCATTTAATAATTTCTTTTTGTCTAGGAAAAAACCTTTTGCTTTTGTTTAAATTACCAATTTCTGCCCTCTGATATCATTTTGTTCATTATTAATCTGTACTGGGCGGGCAATAAAAAATCCACAATAACTTGTGATCAAATTTAGATTATGAGGAAAACAAGGTTTGAATGATATTTTCCCCTGATGTTTAAGAAATAAAAAATCCGTCTGAACAGGGCCGTTTTATTACAAAATTGTCCTGTCATTTTACTTTGCTGTGAATTACCACTAGTTCTGACACAAATTTGTTTTATGGTACATATTAACTAATTAAATGAAGTTTATATTTCTTGAAATATGTCTATTCTACATAAGAGGTTGAGAATAAAGACTTACGGTAATCATTTATGATATTTAATCGGAAATTAGACAGAAATTCTCCCCCGACTTGCCTAGCTTTGTGTATCTTAAAAAGACATTGAAGAATCACTTCTATCATAAAGCAACCAACTCGCTGTTTGTAATAATTAAGCTTTTAATAAAATTACGAACATTTTGTATACTTTGCCTTCATTTTCAGCTACTTTGGGGTCCACATTTGAACTTTTGGATAAATTCGCAAACATTGTGAGAAAGAGGCAAGGGGCGAGATTTTTTTTAGATTTTGGAGATTTGTTCAGTTAGTAGGGTATGTAGATATAGTGTGTTTATTGTCTGGGAGTTTTATGGCAGCTCCGCTAGCCAATGTTTATGTTTTATGGAAATATTGAAGAAATTGTTTGATTTATGGCAAACAGTGCAGACTGCCTGTAAATATTTGTGCCAAGTTATAATGATGATAGATATATTCAAGAATTGTAATTTTCTCCATGTTTTGCCCAAATATGGATAAAAACATGGTGAAATTGCCTCCGGTGATCGTGTCTGGCCGTATAAAGAATTGGGGACACTGTTTTAGGGTTTGTATGTAATAATTCAAGCAAAGTACACACACAAAAATTGCCTGAACGTCTGCCTGTAATGCCATAACGGTAAGGACTTGTATTGTTTATTGCGTACACATTTCTTTTCCTTGATTTACCTACTCTGTCGGCTTGGTATTTTTTCTTTTTCTTAGATTTAATTTTTTTCGATTATGACAATTGAACTTTTAAGAATTACACCTCTATATTGTTAATAAAAGAAAATTGATGATGCTCTTTTTAACCCTCTTAGCAATAATGGTAACTGGCATTCTTTTATGTGCCGTAACATATAACTCTATTAAACACTCTTCTTTTAATTATGCTGCTAAGAATCTTAAATGTTTTAAAAATACTTCTTTAGTTCATAGCAGTTTAATGAACCCAAAATATAATAATTTATCTATATAAAAGAATTGTAGTCAAACACAATGTCACCTTGAAATAAATAACTTTAGTCCAAGTTTAGTCAGATATTGTGCATGTTTGAAACCGAGTCCAGTGAACATGTATATCACATCTGCAATTTTTGTGTCAGCTAGTTAAATTTGTGAAAGTTCTGTGAATCGCTTGTACCATATTTGGCAGTAGTTAGCACATGGTACATCTCTTGGCTACATTTCTACAATTATTATTGTGGCAACTGTGTAATTCACTCTGTGATGAGTCCGACCTAGTGTTTTGAATATTTGGAAAGGGAGCACCCATTATATTCAACCCTAATTCTTTTACAAATTTGATAGGGGTAGATTGTAATTTTTACGTGCTATTTTGTTGTTAGTTAGTACTATATATGTCCTTTGTTAAAAGATATCAAGGAATTATATATTGTTTCAGGTTCCTTTTACGAGAATTAGCAAAGTACGAAACAAAAAAGTTTAAACCCTGTCGGGGGCCAGTCATTGTTTCCTTGAGCAAGAAACTTTAAACTCATTGCTCAGTACTGGTTGGTTCCAGGAACGGATTCGAAAGTGTGTCAATAAGCTTAAAGTTTCCTACACAATCGAAGTAAAATAAATTCTGTATAAACCAAAAAGTTTATAGTTGGCAGAAAAACAAAATTTTGGTCAGAAAACTAAAAGCAGACATGTAACTATGATGTTATGATAAGTAACTTAATAATTTAGTTGCGGTTTGTGTTTTTTGGAACATGGAACAGTTTTGTTGCACGTTTTAAAGAAAACTAAAAGAAAAATACGAAAAATACAGACGCAAGATAGCAAGATATCTGCTTTTGAATAACAAGAAGTAATTATGAAGACGTATTTGGTATATTATATAGAAAACAAAGCACTAATCTCTCATCTCTGAATATAGAAACAATTATATAACATTTGATCCCGTTTAATGTTGCAGAAAAAACATTTCTGCGAGCTTGCATCCTTATGAAGACTTTTTCTGTAATTGAATGCTATCTATCATCAAGTTACACTTAGAATATAATTAATTCAAATCACAGGGCTTTTTCAGTCTGCAAAATTTACGATTATGAATTGTGCTATCTTTTTTTCCTGAAACCAGTATTTATATCATAAGACTTTGAATGCCAGCGTCTGGTCGAAGACGGAGCTAGACTTAGTCCGGAAAATCCCCAAGACATGCAAATTTAATCTTCCTGCAGTGATTTGAATTCGTAAGCCCTGTGGCTACGTGATGATTTTTGAAAATGGAAATTTCGTAGACTTGTAGATGATTGGAGTTTTTGATTTGTGGTTTGCTCAGAAATAATGGCCACTGTGTAATTGATGTGTGTATCAAAATATGACAGTATGGTCTTGAATTTGATTGGTTGATTTCTTTCTCTTTCAGCGATTTAAATAAACTTGCTGTCTGGTATAGTAAGACAAGAAATGTACTTAACATTTTGTGTTGCCTTTATGGCGACTAATTTGTCTCGATAATAAAAACTTTGGCACCTTTTGAGTACCACTCTGTCTCGACAATGTTGAAACATTTTGAAACCTTTGTGTTATTTCTGTAGAGTTTTAAATGTCTGGATGACATCAATAGGTTAAAAAATACTCAAAATATCAATTTTTTATGTTTGTATTTTAAACATTTTCCATCAGACTGATTATTCCTTATTTTATACAATCTGAAATGATTACTTTATTTTGTTGAAATATTTATACAGTTTTGTCTATGATACATTACAAGGATTTCTGGAGTAGGCGCCGGGATATTACAGTGGAAGAAGCACTATTAGGTCTGAGACTTTTAGATAATGGACATCGATTTCGGGACAAATTTTCGAAACAAAAATACGGGACAATATAAGTGAAATTTTAAAGGTGGCATTGCCCTCTGGCAACCTTGAGTATTTTCTAAGGCAACCGATGACACATAAAGCGATTGTTTTTGTGACAATGTTTTTCTATGCTAAATATAGTAATATTTGACCTGATCTGTATTGAAATTGGAACTGTTTTTTTCAAGGAATTTTAAATGAGAGTCCAACACAACTTCTATTAAAGCTTCAACGACCATAATTTGATAACTAATCTCCTATAATAATGTTTACGACTTTGTCATTTTAAACAACTTATCGTTAGTAAGTTTTCTGTCGATTTTTTTCAAGTAAGTGAGTCATATTTCCTTTTTATATTTGTATAGTACACAAAACCTATTCTGTTGTATAATACTGTAATTGCCAGGGTAGACATTTCATTCTTAATAAAACCATTCTCATCATTGTCAGTCTAAATGGACTGTATTTATGTAAATAGGAGCTGATTTTCTAATGAAAGTTGTGCCATTGCATAATCAAAATACTGGCGAAATGAAAAAAAAATCTCAAAAAAAAAACCAACTGGCATCATCGGCATAGGAAAGGTATCGCTCGGGCATTATGGATGCTGAAAGAATAAAAATCTTTGTCTATGGACAGTTTGTTGTACGTCCATCCAAAATAAGCACTTCGATTTGCAGTAAGTACAATAATTAAGTCTAAGTTAAAAGTTTTTTTTACGTAATGTTTATCATTAAAGTAATTGAAGAATAATAGGTAAAACCCCATACTTAAATGAATGTATGAAAAGTCTTGAATCCTGATTTTGATCGCAGTAAATAATTATGTTGGTTCCTTACGGTTTCGGAGAAGTTTGTCCCTTGCAAATCGGACGCTAAATAATTGTATTCTCAAAATTAGCTTTTCGTGTATAAAAAAGTCTTTGCATCTGTAAAGACTGACTGACTGTCTGACTATGCTCTAAATGGCACTGGCTGACCAACAAAAATGGACGGTTTTATCCCAATAGCTAATAATATAGCTAATTTTAAAATAGAGGTTTGACACATCCATTTAGAAATAAAATCGGTAAGTTCTGAAATTTCATTTCTTCCACTGCTGTTGTTAATTATGTGAAGATTTGTTTCTTTTATTTTGGTTGTGACTTTTCAAATGTTGCCGTCAATGAAGGGGCCTCTGCACGCCAACTAGACCATTTCACATATTTCCTAACTTTGACCGGACTCAGTTGACTTTAATTATGATCTTCTCAATTTTATATATAATTTGAAAGTACCAATCGACAGTGAAAGTACTAATTGGCTGATCCTAAAATAAAATAATTATTATGATTATCATTATTGACTTATTATTTACACAGGTCAATCCGGTGTATGTTAGGTAGGTATAGACCTTAAAAAGAAAGAAAACAAAGAGATGGTGATCTGATCTGTTGTGCTAGCCAAGATCATGACTAGACTTATTCATACAAAATCATCTGAAAAGTGTTAGTGGCAGTGTTATTTTGAATATAAGTTTTTGAGTTATGGTTTATATCTAGTAATAACAATATTCAAAAAATTTTGTTTTAGACTTAGTGTCTGTTACTTATAGATAGGTAGTAATTTTGTTTGGGTATTTTTGGCGAGATGTGCATAAGATTTTTCAGGTCTAACACGCAATATGCGATGCCATTATTCTTTCAATTTGACGCCTGAGAATTTCATTTTTATTTTTCAGACGCGAGAATATAAATTCTGACCCGTAGCCGTATGAAAATTTGGTCTTTAGATATTAAAAGAGGTCTCCGCTCTAGGTAAGTAAAAGACAGAAATGTGATTTAAAGGATATATCTATTAATTCTCTGAATAATTTTTAACTCTTACCATTTTAATTATCTTACATTGACTTGTCCATCTTTCATTTCGGACAAAACCATTGATTGCTTTAAGGGAAAATTTCAAAATACGTAATGCCTGAATGTCAAACAGTACAGACCATGATCAGATGGCAAGGATGTGCTGGCCGATCTTGGTCTGCACTGGTCGCATGGGTAGGTTAGGTTGCAGCCAGCAGTCAAAGGGTTAATGTTCTCTTACAGAATGTAATCTAAAGTTTTTTTAGAAACTTGAATGCCATCTTTAAATTTAGGTGCAGAAGTGTAGCAGTTAATAACTTGTTTGTCCTATATTTTGGCCTTCATTTTGTTCCTTCATTTTGCCTTCATTTTGTCCTTTATTTTGTCCTTCATTTTGCCCTTTATTTTTTCCCTTCATTTTGTCCTTTATTTTGCCCTTCATTTTGTCCTTCATTTTGTAAATCTCATTGTTTCCTATAGCAGCCTTTTATTTTAATGAGTGATGTTTTACATAGTCTTTTCAGATCACTTGTGCCAGTTTTGCTGAAGTTTCCCATTCCACAAGAAGTGATAGGATAATGTTTAATTAGCTATAAAACTAATCTTTAGCATCCACTGAACAAATTTGCATCTTGAAATAAAACAATGGGAAGTAACTGTGATACAGAATGTTTCCATCTGTAATTGACACTGCGCACATCTTTTTGTCTTCAGCAAGAAAAACTTTCTTATGCCTTAAAAACCTTCCAACTCTTTATCTACTGAGGAAATCTGTAGACACTTTTATGCATGAGTTTCACTGTAATCCAGCTGGCAAATTGTCCATTAAAATGGGATTTAACTCTAGTGTCCAGAGATAAGAAGCAGAACTGACACTGGTGGACAATTCTGATCTCTAGTTGACCCCTTCCTTATTGCATGTCAAGTTTCTTATGTGATACAGCTACCACAGGGCCAATTGCCCTCTAGACTGTAAAATTACTGAGACAAAAACTGTCAAAGGAAATTTGATGATGCTTTTAAAACGGTTTTATGTAATTTTACTCTAATAACGTGTCTATTTACTGAAATAGCATTAATTTACCTATTCAGGCATTCAATTGCAAATCAACACAACAGCTGGAAAAACAAGTCTTTCGGAATTAATGAAGCTGGTTACACAACTGTAGAATACAAGAAGGAATTCCAAGGTGAATTATTTATAAGGAGTCGAATGTGTGTAGCTACTATAGACCAAATTACAAATGCTTAAAACTATACCAGTTGCAAAAGAGTGGGCCTGAAACATAGTCACTGTCATTTTCAAGGAAATAAGTGAAACTTTTCTACATATTGGCCTTGTCTTTGATAGCAGTTTCAAGAATAGCAAAGCACTGAGTTAGATATGGTTCATCTACAGCACTAGAGTATTAATCTATTGGCTTGGTTTGATAGCAGTTTCAAGAATAGCAAAGCAGTGTGGCAATCACTTGCAGCATTGTAGCAGTCATTGTGGTAGTAATGGGTCATCTGCAGCATTGTAGCAGTCAATGTGGTAGTAATGGGTCACATGCAGCATTGTAGCAGTCATTGCGGTAGTAATGGGTCATCTGCAGCATTGTAGCAGTCAATGTGGTATTAATGGGTCACCTGCAGCATTGTAGCAGTCAGTGCTGTAGTAATGGGTCACCTGCAACATTGTAACCCTCAATGCGGTAGTACTGGGTCACCTGCAACATTGTATCAGACAATGTGGTAGTAATGGGTCATCTACAGCATTGTAGCAGACAATGTGGTAGTAATGGGTCACCTGCAGCATTGTAGCAGACAATGCGGTAGTAATGGGTCACCTGCAGCATTGTAGCAGTCAATGCGGTAGTAATGGGTCATCTGCAGCATTGTAGCAGTCAATGTGGTAGTAATGGGTCACATGCAGCATTGTAGCAGTCAGTGGTAGTAATGGGTCATCTGCAGCATTGTAGCAGTCAATGTGGTAGTAATGGGTCATCTGCAGCATTGTAGCAGACAATGGGGTAGTAATGGGTCATCTGCAGCATTGTAGCAGTCAATTAGGTAGTAATGGGTCATCTGCAGCATTGTAGCAGTCAATGTGGTAGTAATGGGTCACATGCAGCATTGTAGCAGTCAGTGGTAGTAATGGGTCATCTGCAGCATTGTAGCAGTCAATGTGGTAGTAATGGGTCATCTGCAGCATTGTAGCAGACAATGGGGGTAGTAATGGGTCATCTGCAGCATTGTAGCAGTCAATGTGGTAGTAATGGGTCATCTGCAGCATGGTAGCAGTCAATGTGGTAGTAATGGGTCATCTGCAGCATTGTAGCAGTCAATGTGGTAGTAATGGGGTCACCTGCAGCATTGTAGCAGACAATGTGGTAGTAATGGGTCATCTGCAGCATTGTAGCAGTCAATGTGGTAGTAATGAGTCACCTGCAGCATTGTAGCAGTCAGTGGTAGTAATGGGTCATCTGCAGCATTGTAGCAGTCAATGGAACATTGATGGGTCACATGCAGCATTGAAGCAGACAATGTGGTATTAATGGGTCATCTACAGCATTGTTGCAGTAGCCAAAGCTATGACAAAGCCAAATGCCCTTAATATACTATCACATTATAGAGCATAGAGCAGTTTACTTTGTTATAATCTTGTTTACTGTCCCTTTGTTATAAAAAAGCTATAATGTTAATAGAATTCATAGATTGATATTTTAACAAAGCCATTGTCAGAGTTTGAAGCAACAGTTTTGCAGCCATTGTCAAACAGAATAGCTTGTATAAAAAGCAATATTGCAACTATTTATATATTTATATTGGACCTCACAGTTTAAACTGTAATTACGAAAGTGATGTCTCAATGTAAGGCAATATGACTAATGTGTTATATGACCAAAATTGCTTACAGTTTATAAACAACAATAACCGAGGCTGTGACAACAATCTGACCCTGACATTACGCTAGAACTTCAAAAATAGGCTCATGTTTGAATATAAGTGTATATCGAATATAGTCCCGCATTTACCTTACCAAAATTTGAATTCAGAAAAAGAAGAAGCGCATGCCATCTTGTTTCTGTCGGATTTGATCCCCAAAAAATTAAACACATATATTTGTTCATGTTCATCATGTACATGAGTGTATGCAAATAAATAAATACAATGCTCATTTTCTACTGCATTTTACTTATCACTAATTTACATAGGAGTTTTAGTATTAACTCAAACAAATGTCACTGTAAATACATACTTATAATTGCAGCACTTACCTCATGTGAGGTTTCTGATTGTGTGGATCGGGGTATAGAAGTTGGTTTAAATCCACAATTGACTCCCCCCCCCCCCCAAAATGTTCACATGGAAACTTTACAGCTTTGCTATTTGAGGTCCCTCCATTCATATTGCTGTCACCTGTATTTAAGTATTTGCATTCAAATACAGTGCCATCAGCATGAGCCTGAATAATGAACTATAAAGTGAATCATGAATTATAGGGTGAATCATAAACTGTAGTGTGAATCATGAACTATAGGGTGAATCATGAACTATTTGGTGAATCATGAACTATAGGACAATTCATGAACTATTGGGTGAATCATGAACTTTAGGATGAATCATGACCTATAATTATATTATAATTATTATAATTATATTAATAAAATTTGAGTAGTGTTTTTTTTTTTGGCTGGTTCTGCCATAGTCTATATTGTCATTTTTGTACAGAAACAAGTTTAACTCATATTAAGTTATATAAGGAGTTTAAAGGTGACGATATGACCTTCATAATCTTGGCTTTACTTACAAATCAAACATTAGAAATATAATAATTAAGAGTCAAAAGGCGTGTCATAAACATGATTATTGTTTTTTGTTTCGTGATGTTTTTCAAACTAAGCCACTTCTACAAAGTCACACTTTACAAAATTAGCTACATCTGGTACCTAGAGGGGGATAAAAACTTGCAGGAATTACATGCACATTGTCTGTACTACAGATATGCAAGCATGTCTTTAATTTAGTCTGTAAAATTGTACGTTTTTTTGCACATAAGTGATATAAAAATGATTTTCGTTTCGCCATTAATCTTTGTCTTTAAATCATGTTGAGTATTCTGGAATCCATTATTTGCTGATTTGAACGGTGAAATGTTTGAAAAATATCTCCGTGCAATAGGCATGCCACCATTTTCATACATTGACCAGATGCTGAGCTTTTAGATACGACTATCCTGTCATTTTAATGGCTGTATTCAAATTGAAACAAAAATGGCTTAATTTACAAGATAATGCAAGATTTATATGTCAGGAAATACTGATAGGGACCGATATTTGAATATATTTGAAATGTCATGGTGTCAGTGGAATTATCAGTAAAACTATATCTGTCCCAATGCATGCTGGGAAAGACTCGCTTTTTAATAACGGGGCATAGGATTTTAATTATCTAATTGCGAATTTTATAACTTATCAACTTCAGGGGTGCAGTTAATTATTGTTTATATAATGGTGGTGTTTTCAGTTCTGGTGTCAGTGTTTTTAATGAGGGCTTAATTAGCGGGGAGTGGGGAGTGACTTTGGACATTTTTCAAATATTAAAGAGAATTTTAGGAGAGTCAATTCCGTTCGTGTGGCATTAAAACGTATGATATAAATTTGATACATTAGAGAATTTGATCAGTTTATGATGAAGAATTTAGAGTGGTGAAATTTAGTACTGTAGAAAAAAAGTACAGTGTTCCTTTTATATCATGTTGTTAGAATAGATATACAGTATAACCTCTACAGAATGGCCCTCTCTGTATAAATAGAGGATATTCAAGTTTTATTCTGTAAATACAAGATTTATTTTCTTCAAGACGTATGAAAATAAATATTTTATTGAATGGCTTCCGAGTGAAATGTGATAATCTTCATCCCATGAGATGAAATAAATCGGTGTTTATAGAAAAATACTGGAATTTTCTGAATATTATTTCTGCATTACTTTCTCCTCTTTTTGACCTTATGATTCAAAAGACTTCCCCTTTAATTTTCTGTAATGTCTGAATTAAAAAAAAAGTAGTCCAGCAAGATACCAGTGAAAATATAGAAAATATGTTTCACTGCAGTGAAAAATAAAATTTAACAGTGAAAATATTGACTATTAAAATACACATTTTATTTCATCAATAGTTCATGTATATGTAACTATATAATAAAAAAAAAATGTAATCCATGATCAGGCATTGTAATAAATCAAAATCTTTTCTATTTGATGTACATACTATTATAACAATATCAGAAATGAAGAAAGGAAAGAAAAAAAACAACAATGTTTTTGTCTTTATCCACAATAAATAAATCAAATTTAGTCCATTTTGTATAAATGTAAAAAGTCTAGTTAACAAGGGCAGTGAACATAAAAAAAACAAGATGTAAAAAAATATAAGAAATACTCAGAAAGTTTCAGTGCCATCAAGATGTTTTATGGTTTCAATTAGTACAGGCATTATTACAATGCTAGAAAAATTTCATCCTTTATGCTCTTAGGTATTGTAGTTTTTTATTGAAGAAAAAAAAAAAGACAAAAAAAAAGCAAAACTTCGTTAATTGTTTGGGCAGTTATATTTACTGGTCTAAATGAATCATTAAAATGGCATGGGGCATTAAATTAAGTTTGGTGCTTATTTCAAGTATAAATGGCCTTGGTTTTTCTTTCAAAGAGTTTTTAGTAGCTTTCGTACCATCTTAGAGACAAAAGGATTTACCCTCGTAAAATGTTGGAAAAATAATTGTTTGGTTCACTAATGCATAAAATTTGTTAAGAGTTTCTTTTCAAGTGGGTCTCTGTTTTATGAAAGATGTTCATTTGTTAGTATTATTTACAGTTGGCAGAAACATGGCCTTTTCCTTATCATTAACTTTAGAAATGAAAAAATAATGTTGTTGAAAACTGAAAAATGTGTTTGTCTAATTCATCCTTTATAATTAATCTTTTTTTTTTTTTGAAAGTTAATTTAATTAAACCAAAAGTTTTGTAAAATTAGGTTGGAAGAAAATTGAGGCAGTTTCAATTTTTTTTCTTCAAAATTAGTTTTAATGAATACCAGATTTTGAGATTGTGTGTTTTTGGTGTTGTTTTTTCTTTGTGAATTTATGACAACAGAATTTTTTTGATTTTTTTAAAAAAAATTTTTTGGTAATTGTCAGAAATTCAATTT